ACTCCTGTCCTCTGAAGATGCCGGCCACAGAGACTGGCAAAACATTAGGAAGAAAAACCTTAAGAAAACAGCCAAACGGCCTGGAAAATCCACAACAACCAATATTTTATATGTTTGTCCAAAATAACACAAAGACCCAGTAATATATTGTGGGTTGGTCTAATATAATATAGATGACTGTTGTAATCATGATGTTAGACCAATGATGGGTTATTAAATTAGGCCTGGAAATAGAGCACAGGAAGACTTGAAAGCTTTGTGATTTTATCTTAGCTGCACAAAACAAAGGGCACCTTTTTCTATACAGATTGATACTTGTAGAGATGATAAAAGAGCAAAAGCAATATGTTCAGTCATTTACCTTAGACACAGTTTTTTGTGAAAATGGTTTGTTGTTGTCTTGGGCATTATAATAATGGAACTAAAGTGATATGGCTGATGCAACTGGATGGGGTTGATTGAAGTAGCAAGAACTGAAGGCTGAAAGAATACAACTACAATTGGTATGTATTAAACCGAAAAATGATATTTTTTCCAAAGAGTGGCAGTAGTAGTCTATTGTAGAAAACATACCAGAGTCTGTAAATATTAATGGCCAAATCCAGTTGATAGTCTTAACCAGAGTGGACTCCTTGAATCAATGGGGCTCTCACAAGTCAGGTAAGTCTCCACTGGCTGAGTGGGTGTACTCTGGGTAGAACTAACAACTGGATGTAGCCATAACACATTTATTGTAGAATGGACTTCCATGGCTGAGATCCTATTGCTTTATTACATGAGCAGAAGGCAAACAGTGTAACATTCTAGATGGCAATTAACAAGTCTCTGCTGGAATTATTGTGCATGCTAAGCCAACTGTTGTGCATACCTCCAAAAATTCCATCAGCAACTCATTAATTTCCAGCTAGAAGCAACTGAATGGTACCCCATTTGTCATAGGATCATAAAATAATGAAGTTGGAAGGCTATAATAGTTAGCTTGCTTATTAGAATACAATATATGGGACACCTTATGAATAACCTTGTTGGAGTCAAGGTATATGATGTCTACAGTGTTCCCATTGTCTACCAGGGAGGTGACCCAATCAAAACATGACAGAAGTTTAATCTGGAGAGGTTTGTTCTTGATAAATCCATGTTGACTTGATAAATCTGTGTTGCATACATAAGAAAGTAATAGGATTTAAGAGGCCAAGTGTTAGCCATAGCTTCAAATACATACACAATACATATATTACCTTAAAAATAAAATAGTCTTCTTGAAACATGGTATTTTCTTCAAAATGCATATTTTCTTGTACCTGTCTTATGTTTCATCTTCAGGATGGTGGGTATCTGGTTGGAGAAGTCAATGAAGAAGGAGAGATGACTGGAGAGAAGATAGCCTATGTTTATCCTGATGGGAAGACAGCATATTATGGGTACTTCATAGACGGTGAAATGTTAAAAGCAAAGCTGGCAACTTTATCCATAGAAGAGGGAAAGCCACAATTTGAAGTGCTACCAGGCAGTAAGTCCTCCTTGATAAATGTCATACTGGCAGGGCAAAGTGGGTTGGTGTGACTAGTAGTCAAAGTGGGAAAAAGTTAACTTTTCTAAGCTCTGTCCTTGACATACACATGCACACATTATCTGCAAGACAACTTTTGAGTATCTACTGAGTGATTATACTTTGAATGTATATTTTGTGTTTCTTTTCCACATTGCTTTATTCTACTTGTCTAGCTACTGCTACCATTAGACATTGCGGCCAAAATCCTTTTGCTCCATGCCCAATCTCCAAATATTTAGTGCTTCTTGAAAATGGGACAGGAAGAGTTACTATTCCACTGTTCGAAAATGCAGGGGCAAAATTTTTGTTTTTGTGTTTAAGTCCTGTAGAACAGTTCCATGATTACTTTTATTTCAGAAAAACAAAGATTTCATTGAAAACAAAGATTAGGACACAGCATATGTTTTGAAAGGTAATGATAATGTACTGCATACAAGGGTGACAGCATTCACGATTTAACACCATTTTTAGAATTTTGTTTCCAAGGAAAACATTTCTATCAATCAGTCTTCAGCTTTTTTATGCACTTGTTCCACAGGTGTATTTCATTATTTGTAGAAAATAAGCATCACATTATTTATATTTCAAAACAAATATAAATAGAAGGGATATAACTTTATTTAGCCCCATTATATTATTTAAGGACTGACATTACTATATTCCCTGCCCCCCTATAAGTAATGGGTCTTTAGCTTGGAGTTCTGTGACTAGAAGTATATTGCTTTTCTTTATTGAAATGCTAGAAATAACAGTGTTAAATATTTGCAGAGAAATTGTTGCTTGAGTCCTTTACTTTAGTGCTCAAAAATGTTGATTGTAGCAAAGGCTTAATGGCAAGAAAGGGAGAGAGGAACGTAAATGTAGGGTATTTATGTACAAAATGAAACTTTAAAAATATTTATTGCAATTCATATAAATTTGGGTTCATATTTGAAATTTAAAAAGATGACTATATAGCTATTTGCAGTTGAGAAGAGAAATGAAAAGGGTAAGGTAACATTATGCAAAATTCAGTTATTTAATATTAGAATAGCACTAGATAAGTTATTTTTCTGCTTTGTTTTTAAAAGCTGCATTTGATTGTATATTGAATGTGTCACACAAGTAAGACAGAGACCTGTAATTTAATATTGTCCATTAATTCCTGTACTGGTTTATTTTTAGGCCCAGTATACTGTTTTGATAAATCTACTTCATCCTGCATTTCTACAAATGCACTTCTTCCTGATCCTTATGAATCAGAGAGGTAGAATAATTTTTATGTATATAATTTTGCCTCCCTGCTTAAACACTTGCAAAGAAACTATTTGGTGGTTGTGCTTTGCATTTTAGTACACACTTCAGTAGCACTTTATTCCATTATATGACTAACAAGACTTCCTATGTGTAAATTGCTTGTCACATAATTAGCTCTTTAACCTGATGGTTGTCTTGCATGGGCTTAATTGAATTGAAATGTTTTCCTTAAAAAATTAACATGATAAACTTTCACTGTGGAAGACAACTGTTTTATCTTTTTGAAAGTGATTACACAAGGGTGAAACATTATGGCACAAGAGAGTGTAATTATTTTTAAGAAGCTGCAAAGAAATATCACTTCAACCCTAACATTGTTCTTTGTTTATTGAGAAGGTGATGTTTAACATTTAGTGTCAGTTTTGGGTCCAAAGGTTTGAAGGCTTGCAGCTTCTTGCAGGACAAAATGCTGAAACCTAGGTCTTTTCTGTATTTGGTATCTATATTGCCACATCTTCCCACAGTCCAGTTTGTTTTCCCATTCTGCTATGAGTGGTCCACTTGAATTAAAAGACCTAGCTTTGACTTTTTCAGTAAGAAAACATTTGGCCCCAAGGAGAGTGAAATATAATCCTTATGTATCCAGATTTTTTGAAAAGTGCATTGAGTGAGTTCTGGAATATTTTCTGAGTTCACTGGAACTCCCATGTTCTGAAGGTCAGCCATAGGATCACTGACATAGCTCGAGTTTATAGTATAGTTTGGATTAGTGACTTGGTTTCATGTATACATCTTGTATTTTCTGAAACCACTGAGAATTCTAGTACAGTATCAATAGGCTGCCTCCTCCATCACTGAATAGAGATAATCTAATGATAACAGCATGATCACATCCTTCTTTTGAATGATTAGGTTCCCCACTTTCTTTGGAATAGTTTTGATTCCACCCACCCACACAATATATTACACTAGCTAAGATTTTTGAAAAATACCCCAAATGGCAGAAAGCACTAAATTCATCTGGCTAATTTTTGTCCAAGCCACTTTTTTGCGGGGTGAAGAGGGGGAAAGCTTATTAAAGACACGTACTGGATGAGTGGTTGAAATTTGGGGATGTACTGTAGTTTACAGCTTTGCAGATGGCATTCTGTGTTCCTGTAGGTCTTGTTCTGGGGAAGAGGCTAAATACATGCTGCTTCACAGAACCATAGTGGACTGGTACTTACCTGTACTATATCTTAATTTAAAATAATGGTGGGCCCTTAAATCAATTCTGACTTATAACGACCTTTTTTTCAGGGTTTTCTAAATAGAGAGTACTCAAAAGTGTTTTACCATTCCCTTAATCTGGGGGCTCCCTGGGACAATGCAGCTTTGCCTAAGGTCACATGGATTAGCTCTTCTGGGTTGTACAATGGGGGATTGAACTCCCACCCTCTGGTTCCTCAGCCAAATACCTAACTCACTGAGCTAGTCATCTTAATTTAGAGCCTCTTTATCTTACTTTGAAACCTTACAGACATCTTATATTTGCTCTTACATTTAATGTCCTATTTTAATTTCTCTGCTGTTTTGGCATATTACTAACCTAGGGTTACATCCATTGTTAGTCCCAACTAGATAAATCAACGGAACCTATATAAATGTTGAATGACAGATTCTTTTTGTTTCAATGAGTGTGGGCTAGTTGAGACTAACATTAAGTTTGGCCTTTAACATACAATTTATGGTGAATAAACTTACTAATTAAGTCTCCTTTCACATAGTTTTGTTGCTAATTTTGAACAGATGGTGTCCTTGGCGTATTTATTTAAGGCTGGAGGGTTGAGTTATGGTGTCTTTAATTCTGTATTGTTGGTTAATAGATGCTAAAGCTTGTGGTTGAAAAACAATGTGGGTTTTTTTTTCTGTGTTAAACTTGATACCTAAATTAGCCCTAATCGAACTGACTTTTGATGGTAGGTTCTAATATATATGCAACCTAATACAACCTGTCCCATAAATATCACAATGCAGTAAATATAGTTCATTTTTATTTTTTGTACTCTCTTCTTTTACCAGGGTATATGTAGATTCCTCACTTATTTCCAGTGCAGGAGAAGGGTTGTTTACAAAAATAGCAGCTGCAGCTGGCACAGTTATGTCCTTTTATAATGGAGTACGAATTACACATCAGGAGGTAAAGTGAACTCTCACTGCTTCCTTTTAGAAATGCTTCAGTTGTTTGTTAACCCCACTATACTTGGCTACAGTTCCAGTGTTGTATTATTTTATAATTGGATATAAATGTTTTCAGAGAGGTAGCTGTGTTAGGTTTTTTTTTTCAACAACAACAAAATAACAAACACAGTGTTGTTGCCTAAGACTAACACATTTAGTTCAGAGTGAACTTTCATGGATTACACTTCTTCAGATTCATGGAGCATTTATGTCCAGGTGCTTGAAAAGATTGGTGTGTGAAAAAATAGATTGTAACCTATTGTACGTGCAACAGGTCCTAATCCATAATGATTTCCCCTGAATTAAATGTGCCCTGAGAACTTGTAAGTTATTTAGGACCTACAGAGATCTCACACATTTCTAGGTGAAGAAAGTTTTTACTCTCTGTATCAGGATGAACAAAATGTATATCTGGATCCCCTCTGATATCTGTTTGGGCAACCTGCAGTTGGTCAGTGAGGATTTCTGACTCTCATTTGTTTAACAGTAGCAGCAACAATGTGACTTCCCTCCATTCTACATTGAACTGTTGAAATTAAGAAACTTTGGAGCAACTAGAAGAAGATTTTTATGGTGAGGAACTGGGTTTAGTGCTGGTGCTCAGAACAAATAATTGTGTAATACTGAAGAATGTATTTTGCACCATGCAAATATTGATAGACTGCAGGTTCTAATAAAAAATAGATGAGATTATCAAGTGTGCCCACCTTTGTCCTGGGTGACCTTTGTTGGGAGAGAAAAACCTTCAATAAATAAAGAGAGAACCAGCTTTGCTACAGATACGCTTCACACAAAACATCACTGTCATTTTAGAATTTGATTGTTCAGTGTCTTTTCCTTGGTACTGCATATTAGGTAGTCAGGTTGAGTAATTTGATAAATTTATATTTGAGTAAACTTGTTTAGTACAAGAAATAAAAATGAGATTGTTAGGCTATTTAAGTGGACAAAAACATTGAGTAACACTGGAATGCTAATCTTATTTTAACTCTAGGTGGATAGCAGAGACTGGGCTTTGAATGGAAACACAATATCTCTTGATGATGAAACAGTGCTAGATGTACCAGAACCCTACAACCATGCATCCAAATATTGTGCCTCTTTGGGACACAAGGCAAACCACTCTTTTGCACCGAACTGTGTTTATGATTCGTAAGTATGAAATGTGTTTGATTCCAGATACTGAGCAGAGCTGTCAACCGTTCTGTGCAATACCTTGTGGTAACAGATTACACCAGAGTACTGCTTAGAACACAGCACAAAAAACAGTGCACGGAAAGTTGTTGCAGTGTATAACTAGAAACTGGGAAGTATTGCTGGGGAAAAACACAGTTTCACCAGGATAACTCTGGTGGCTCAAACACTTGTTTGCACTGTACTGTCTTAGTAACAAGTCTCAGATTCTGTTTTGTTAGAAGATACTGAAATGCAACTATATTGTGTGGTCTATAGAGAAATGCAACTATAGAGTGGTCGACCAGATCATATGGTTGGGATATAAATCAAATAAATAAATAAATATATGCAAAAAAGGACTTAATCCTCTCCATCTTCTGTGATATTTTATGAGATCTTGTGGCAGGAGACCATCTCTTGGACTGTATGTCACTACTTGTGTTCTGAAAAAAATACTGTGGTATGAGCTGACTTCCTTGGTAGCATCCTTGGGGAAGCCATCCATTCATATGAAGCAATCCACAGTTGTTCCTATTCACTGTGCAAACTGTGTGTACAGTTTGCCCCGTGTGCATATATAGATACCACAACCTCTGATTCTCTTCAGTGAAGCTGTATGAATACATCCTGATTGGGGGACATTTTGAACTCTGTGACTAGGAACCCTTCACAAGTAGGAAAATATATATTTATAAAAATTATCTGGGCATTCAAAAACCAGGTTGTGATTTGCCATAATGATCATCTTTCGAAAAGAGCCAGGTTTCCTGTGGGGCATGTCTGAGGTAGCTCTTTCATCGCAGCCCTGATATAAAATTTATTTATTTTATTTATTTATTTGATTTATATCCCGCCCATCTGGTATATTTATACCACTCTGAGCGGCTAAGTGAAAGACCTTGGATCTTGGAATAGTTTGAAAGGTTTTTTTTTCCCCTGAACATAACTATTTTATGTCTTCTTGCTTTCTAGGTTTGTCCATCCTCGTTTTGGGCTGATTAAGTGTATCCGCACTATTAGGGCTGTGGAGAAGGATGAAGAACTAACAGTGGCTTATGGATATGATCATAATCCCACTGGACAAAATGGGCCAGAAGCACCAGAGTGGTATCTAGCAGAACTGAAAGCGTTCCAGGCTTCCCAGAAAAAGTGAAAGGCAGATAGTTTCCCTGTTCAGAAAATGGATCTATGCACTACCATTGATAACTGGAATCAAGACAGACAGGGATTGTTTATGCAGTTGCTCTGCAACCTTCACTTTGTGTCAGAAGGGGGCAATGTTTTCTCTCTAGCATACTAACAAGTTTGAAACATTACCTTAGAACAACTTTTGAAACTATAGCTAGTATTGTGAAATAATAACTATTGAATATTCTATAGAAGACAGTGTGATTTACTTGGCAACCATTCTGTATCAAACAAAGTTTTCAAAACCTGGGGGGGGGGGTGTTAACAAAAGACGGAAGTTTTGCCTGTACTATAACCTGTTACTGTGCAGCTATATTTTGTATACATGCCTTTTTGTGATGGTAACAGAATTGTTCTGTTTCTAATATTCTAGAAAAGTAGCATAATATTTCTCTTAAAACCTTTGAGAATATTGCTCTCTTGGTGCACAGGAGGCTGGCCTTTGTAGCTCCTCCCTCTCTCTAAAGACGGAGGTTTTTTTTAAAGAGACTGAGGCCGCACAATATATTTAAATAATTGTATGTGTAGATTATTATGATTCTGTGGACAGATTAATTTTAGAAATGTGCCTAAGGAAACCAGAACTAGTGTAACTTTATTGTGATAATCACACTTGAAATAAGTTCATTGTTGGATGTGTGTGTGTGAATCTGTGTGGCGATTTTTTTTTTTACAAAAAAAGCTGAATGCAAAAGAGAGGGAAATTATAATTGTAGAAACAAGCAATTAAGGTTATACCAAGATACTTCTTTTTTGGTCAACCCTCTTCTGCTTTTTTTTTTCCTGCCTTGGAAATTCTAAGAGAGGTGTCCATCAGAGTCATATTAGTTTGAGAACTAATAATAGAATAGAGACAGAATAATAGCCAGAAGTATTGCATATTGGAGCCCTATTTATTTGATAGGTTGTAATACAAGAATCGAAGAAAATTAAAAGAATGAATTAGGTTAAAGGCAAAAACCTGTCTACTGTAAAGCTGGCTATGCTTATGTATATTCCAAACAACCTTTCTGAGAACTATAACATTAATGTCTCCATTCTCTTAACAGAGAATAAGAAAATGTCTCCATTCTCTTAACAGTTCTTAACTACTACAGTGGTGCCCCGCTTGATGATTACCTCATTATACAACGAAATCATTTGCTGATGATGTTTTTGCAATCGCTATTGCGATCGCAAAACGATGATTCTATGGGCGATTTTCGTTTGACGACAATCGGTTCCCTGCTTCGGGAACCGGTTTTTCGCATTACGACGATCAAAAACAGCTGATCATCAGGTTTTTGCTTGCTGTGCAAAATGGCTCCCCACTGTTTTCAGGACTAATTGCTCGCTATACAGACATTGGAAAATGGCCACCCTATGGAGGATCTTCACAAAACAAGCAGGTATTTCCCCCATTGGGTCGCATTGAACTGGTTTTCAATGCATTTCAGTGGGGTTTTTTATTTTGCTTGACAACGATTTCGCTGTACAGCAATTTTGCTGGAACGGATTATCGTTGTCAAGCGGGGCACCACTGTACTTATCTGTGATTAGTAAAAAACTATCATTGGACAAAGTAACTATCTTCAAGCATCTGTAGGTTGTTTATAATCTGACATTTGGTTTTTGGATAGAATTCTAAATATAACAGAGATAACACATCAAACAGCTTGTTTTATAATACCTCATTGAGTTAGAAGTTTGTGTGCATGCATTTGTATGCCTACATACACCAGTGAGAGTGAATATGATTCTTAGGCATCAGTCCTCTAGGACTAAGCTCCGTTGGCGGAACTGGCTCATAATTGGACTTACATAAGATGACATGATCAGTTAACTTAAATGTGTTTTAAAGTTCCAAATGCATTTCAGTACCATTTTGATCCTTCTTTCTCTTTATCTCTGTCTCCTTCTGCCCATCTTTCTGTCTTTCTGCTTTTCTGTCTCTCATTTTTTCTCATATCCATTACTTAAGCAGCATTCTAGCACATGTGAGGTTCAGGCCTGGGAAAGGATAATAATTTTTCAAGTTTTTTTTTCAACATAAAAATGCATAAGGCTTTTTTAAAGGGAGTTGTTATTGGAATTTGTATTACAGTGACATTCTTGGAATATGCTCACAAAAGGAGCTTTATTTATCTCTGCTTTACTTCCAATGATTTTCATCTAGATCCTTTTCTAGTTATATTTAGGCTTCCATGGTGAACAAACATTTATTAAAAGAATTTAAATGTCTGCTTACAGTTTTAATGGTACAAGAACACTGAATAGAAAGTTTGTCAGTTGTCCAGCATTTCCCTTCATTAACCACAGACACTTATTTTCATCTCATTTGAACATGTTAAACAACCTTAATAAATGAGATTTCATTTATTTCAGCTGGGATTGCTGAAGCTGAATTAACCCTCCCTAATAGAAGTGAACTAACCAAATATTGTAACTGAAATAACATTACTGATAGTAGGTTTTGCAAGGTAAATGACTTTTTTAAAAACCCTAACAAAAGGCTGACATTTTAATGCTACTTTCACAAGTTAGTGCAAAAGAAGAGAAAGTGCCTTGAAAGTTTAGCATGTAAATACTGAAGCACAACAAGAATTTCTGTTAGAGTATGAAAATGTTTTTTTCAGATAAGCACTATTGATTTTTATGGGCCACCCATTGAGTAAAATAATTCAGCGGCCTGAAGTAAGGTGCGGTTTAGTTCAAATATCCTTTCTGATACTTGCATTAAGTATTTGGATTCTGAACTGAACCTGTTTATTGGGTAGCGTGCCCCATTTAACTCACTGGGAATTAACTTCTAAATAAATCTGCCTATGACAATTTTGCATATTTAATATTACAGCAAGTATTGTCTAATTACTAATCACTAATCTAATTACTAAATACTGTGTTAATTTCTTCTAGTTCTAATAATATGGTCTTGCTGCTTTTTCTGTTTTGGTAATAGAAAATACAGTAATGCGTGTTTGCATTAATAGAAATGAGCTCCTGTGCTCTTCAGATTATTATAGTACCTTCTGTGTTCCAGGGCCTAGAGGAGTTTTATTTTTTTACTGCAGCTCTTAGGATCCTGGAGCCCACATGGTTGCCGTCTGTGACTATGCTGGTTGCGACAGACAGAAACTCTAGCCCCAAAACAGAATTTACTGGCTGTGCTTCACATCAGAAGGCCAGAATGTGCACTGAACTAAGCACCTCTCTCCTCTTTCTATTTCTAAAAATAAAAAAGGGTGGAGGGGAAAATTCTTTGCAGTATCTGATGTGATCCTTTTTTGAGTTTTTCTTCTTCAGTGACTAGGAGCTGAGAACTATTTGTGAGCAGTATTAACAGTTGTCTCATGAATATTAGGCTGGAATGTTGCTGAGATAATATTTTTTTTTCTCTTGAGCTTTGCCTAGATGGGGCCCATTCTGCACCTAATTATTTAAAAAAATGCAAAAGTTCTTTACAAAAAAATTAGACAGCATCTGGTGAAATTGTGTCAATACTCAATGTGAAACCGTATGTGATTTATGTTCAGAACAGTACTTTTTAAACTTCAGAGGAAAGGAAATTCTACAGCTATCTTGGCAGCTTCTTCCACTGCTTGTTTTCAGAAGTAGAAATTATTTACTAATAGGTTATGTAAACCTGCTTTGTTGCAAGCTGAATAACAACTTAATTCTTTAGTGTGTGTATATTCTCCTCTGCTTTATGGCAACCTAGTAGGTACTTGAGAATTGTAGTGGAGCATCTTCACCACCACCACGAGTTTTACTTTTTTGCTTAATGCAATATACATCAAAGATACCTTGTTATAGTCTTAAGACACCTCTTGTGCTTTGGATACATGCACTGACTTTGTTCTCAGAAAAATAAGGATTTGCCAGTGCTCTTGCAGAACCGCAATACCCAAGATGCATGATATGACTATTTCTTCATGACATTACTCTTTTTTGGGGAGGACAGGGAGAACAACTTGTGTTTAAATAGGGCAGAGCTAGGTTATTTGATGAATGTTTGCATTTTAAATCTTTAGAGCAACACAGACATCAAATTTTTTTGCTCCTTTAGTGGCAAATCCCCACTAATTAATTAGTCGTTCATCACATTTTTTATTTCATGTCAACATTGTGGAGTCAGGTATGATAGCAGCAGCTCTTTAATTAGTGGCAATATGCTGCTTCAGTTTACACAATTATACTTATACAGTAATAAATCCCCCATAGGATTCCTACCATTGAATCAGTTGGGTTTATATAATAGTGACACAAAAGTTGATTTTTTTAGATCTGCTCCAGTCAGGATTCCAACTGGATTTAGGTCTGTGTAGAAGACCTAAACAGGAAACTGAATAATTGAAATTTACTTTGCATAATGTTCTTCTTATGATTGCTATGACTTTGTAATAATAATCACTTTGCTGGATCAAATCATGATCTGTTTTATTAAACATTATGTTCTCCAATAGCAGCTACAAAAAACAAATATCACTGAGGGCTTAAAATCCATTCATTTGGAGGTCATGGCCATTTCTAGCTTTTATGTAGTTGTCTGTGGCTTCTAAACATGGAGGTTATGTCTGGGGAGGAACAGTGGTTGAGATTCTGTTATACAGTAATGCAAATGGCATATCTTTAAAATACAAACTGCCATACATTAAGAAATCTGTTGCACACTCCATCATACAACTCATTATGCAACAGATAATGCCTCCGGAAATTTCTTAGCTCACTGCAGTTTACCTGCAAAAGTTGCACAATTTGCATAACTGCACAACAGGATTTCAGCCACTGTTAACAAAAAGTTTTCTGGGAACTGGTGTGAACACTGTGTTCTATCCTTTTCTGATGGGAGCTCCTCCTTCCTTTCAGTTAAACTTGACTATACATCAATTTGTGGGAGGTGGGAAGATGGGCAGCATTTGTCAGTATGGAATCACAAGGTAATTCTTGTGCTTTTGCTATCTTTGACTTCAGTAACCTTTAATTTTTTAAATGCTCACTAATTTTTATCTGTATAGGGCAGAGTTTGATAATGTTACGTCTGTGGATCATTGGCCACATGGGCTAGCAGATTGCAGGATTTGTGGTCCAAAAATTGATTGCTAAGTTCTATTATTGCTTGCCTCTGTGTCTGTGTTACTTTTGCTTAGTGACAAAGTAATATCTTGTTAGTACAAGATACTATATAAACCTTAATTGAATTAGGGAAATGTAATCTGCAAAAGCAAAACTAACAAAACAATTCTGTTTGGAAAACATATCAGTGGAAACACGATGAGTTGCAATATGCTGTAAAGTAAAACCATCTTCCCTTCGGTTCTACAGATGTTTTTTCTATAAATGAGAGAGCACTTTTTATGGATTACTACTGATATTCGTTTGAGTAGGTTCTTTGTACAGCTTCTATCTCCATATTCTGGATGGTAGAATTTCTTTCCGTGACATCTGAACTATTCTAGTTTGGAATGTGTGGTTTTTTGCATGCAGTAATTTTAACCAGTTTTACGGGAGACCAGTTTCTTTGGTTGGCTTATTTCTTCTGAGCACAGGTAGGATATTGGAGTGAATCTAAATGCTCTGTTTAATGTATGTAATGTAATATAAATTTGATTTGTAACATGTACAAATGTTTTCCACTAGACGTCTGTTATCCTTGTCTGTGCTTGGGTTCAGCTGCTTTTGGCCTTTTGCTTGTTTTACTAGTATCACTGGGGGAAGAACTCACATGGCCTTTACATGCCATGATCCATTTTTACATGTTGAGTGCTGTACATAGAATATTGATCCTTGCTGGCTGTTGCCATCCCGTTAACTGGATAATGTTTGTATGTAGATATATTTATTTTTATTCACTTTATTCTCCTGCCTTTCTTCCAAAAAAGGATTCAAGGCAGGTTCTTGTTTAGACCTCTGGAGTACAACATATCTGGCAGTACTCAGACAGGAACCAGATAGGTTATGTTATAACACGGTCATGTTATAGACAGACTAGTGTGGCCAGTCCCAAAGAGTAACCAAATAGGTCATGCTATAGACAGACTTGCGTGGTCTGTCTCATATGTATGTTGTTAGTGTACAAGATGATGGCTAGCCCATGCTTCTGAATAACAATGAAGAAATTCAACAGAGCTTCCTGTCCCAGATCAATGTTCATTTTATTTTTGTCTCCTGTAACAGAGATTGCTAAACTGAATCTAGTGTAGAAATAATCATAGGATCCTGTGGTCATA